TTCATCACAAGATGAGGCGGGTTTCAAACGAGACACATGAAGACGAGAAAAACTCTTCTGATGCCATAAAGACTCAAACATCATCTAATCGGCCACATCTTCCAGCTCCTCTGGACGTGCAGAGCGACATACAGGACACATGATCTCTGTCAGTCCACCTTAACAGGCTCCTGTTCAGCTCATCTCTCTAAGAACACGAGCTCATTTCTGCCTCTAACACCAGCCATCATTTCCTCCTCTTTAGGAACATCGACCAGGAAATCAGCACCTCTGCCTTCACACTCAGCTCTGTCTTAATCACAGCAGATCAGGAGAGCGTCCACCAACCCGCCTCTACCTGAGGCAGCAGCTCATCCCCGCCCTGGAGCAGGGACTCCACCCTTTTCAGACTGAAACCACGACCACAGACTCGGCCTCTGCTTCACACCTGAACACAAACATCCTCAGAGGAGCTGGAGGTGATCGCACGATGAGCACCCAGCAGCGACGAGACCACCTCCACCCACTGAATGAGAAAGTCGTGAGCGTGGCGTGACTCGGCTGTAAGCTGCAGAGCAAACGTGCAGGCGGAGGACGCAGGAAGGCAGGATCCAGGCCAGTGATGATCTCCACTCATGTATTAGTGATGAAGACAGAGCGGCGCTGCAGGACACGCAGGACTGAGGGAAACGAGCCGCCGTGCTCGAATTATACTTGAGGAATATTTACACCAATCACACGACAGCATTTCAGCTTCCTGCTGATGAAAGGAGGAAACACGGAGGAGGAACGATAGACTATAATCTGTAATCTGTGACAGTTTTCTTTCCTCGTGACACAGAGATGGTGATGCTCGGCTTCAAACTGAACCCTTTTGTCTGCTGCTTTATGATAAGGAGGTGAAAGTGCTGTCCAAACTGATGCAGCAGCAGGACACTGAGGGTGACCTCTACAAACAGCTTGCTCCTGCCCACTCAGAGCCGTGTGAGCCGACAGAAAGGCAGCACCGAAGCCTGAAAGTTTAAAAAGTTAAAGCAAACGTTCAGAAAGACTTCCTGTTGTTGGCGAGTCCCGGGGCACAAACACACTCAGTGTTTGAGTCTTTCAGCGAGTCGTTCCTGGGAAACTCAAACACATCGGACCACATTCCTGCTGCTCGGCGTCCGTTAACCCTGCAGCTGCTTCTGCGTTTACTCTGAGAGTCCCGTTAGCCGGCAGCGAGGCGACAGCCAATCAGAGAAACATGACGCTGGCAGAACATCAGAGAAACGCAGACATCTGCAAACCTGCAGGGCGACTTCTGCTTCGCCGTAATTACAGAGGAGAGGCGAACAGTTAAATAACAGATTTGCTGTTTTTCTCAATGAAACTGAGAAACGACCATCTGCAGGAAAAACTAATCGATATTCACAGCAGAGGCCGACACGCTGGTGCACCGTGGAGAAACACGTCCACGGCCAGGAGCTCGTTAGGAGCTCAGCCGTCTCATTATCGCAGCCTGACAGCTGATTATGTGAAGCTCGTGAGTCACGTCAACCTGGCGTCCCTGTGAAAGACGTGACACACACTCTTTGGGTTCATCCATGCTGGATGGACGGAGGAGGCGTCGGTGTGACATGGTCAACCTAAACTTTGATGTTCGGACTGCGAACAGAAGCTGCTCAAGAACCAAACCCACGTTGTATTAACTGTGATCTGTGTTGTGTGTCTGGGCTCGGTCACTCAGAGCTGAGCTCCTGCTGCTCCGGCCGAGTTGGCTCCGAGTATCAGGATGTGACTCCGTGGAAAACCGACGGACAAAAAGCAGGTTTGGTTTAGTTTAACAGGATTTCCTCGAAAATTAGAGGGACCCCAGGTGACCCTGAGGGCAGGACGCAGGGAGTCGGGCACATTTCACAGCTTTCACTCTACA